AAAAAAAAAAAATGTTAGCACTTATGGGGCAGTGCCTGTGGCTCAGTAAGTAGGGTACCAGCCCCACATAACGAGGGTGGCAGGTTCAAACCTGGCCCAGTCAAACAAAAAAAAATAGCAGGGCGTTGTGGCAGACACCTGTGGTCCCAGCTACTCGGCAGACTGAGGCAGTGAGAATCACCTAAGCCCGGGAGTTGGAGGTTGCTATGAGCTGTGTCATGCCATGGCACTCTACAGAGGGCAATAAAGTGAGACTCTGTCTCTACAAAAAAAAAAAAAAAAAAAGATAAGCACTTATTACTCTCTTAGTACTTCAGCCCACTTCTGACTCAATCTTAATGCTGTTACTTACTCATGGTCAAAACATCTTTATCACAACCCTGAGCACCTGTGTCCTTCTGTCCCTGTTGCCACCTCTGCTTTCACAAAGTAGACTTGAGGCACTGGGGGGTGTAACTTCCCGTCACTTTACCAAATTTATTTATGGGAGACATGAAAAAACCCAAAACTTTATGAGAGTATCATCACTGGACCCGCAACTCCTGAGTGGGAGAACTGCTCAGACCCATAGGGCAGAAGGGACACCAGGATGGGACATACCAAAGGACTTCTCATCTGCATGTGCTAAGGCTAGACTTTCCATATAGGTCACCAGGGCTTCAAACACAAACGCTTCCACCAGAGACTCTTCTTCCCTGTAAAATAAACAGTATGAAGAGTCACCTAAGAAAACAACAAAGCAGAATTAAAGAATGCAAAGAATTAGAGGGAATTAAAGAATGCAAATATTAATTAGTTATTTTTAAAGGCTCAAATGTTTTAAAACGTGAAATAATTGAAAACACTTCTCAAAGAAGAACACTTGCTCAAGAGCAGACCAAAGATGAAGGCCACGTGTACCCAAGAGGCAACAGGGGCTTTTCCCACAACCACACTCTCCCTCCTGGCATCTGCATGGCTGCCCACAGCACACACCCTGAGGACCACTCTTCTGACCACATTGTTACACATTAACATTTAACGTAGGTGAAAAGAAGATCTAATATCATACCCATACTCTTGTAAAAGAAAAGAATTTTGAAAGCTCTCAGAGTATCTAAAAATAAGTCAACATTAAGAGTAAACTCTAAGTCTTTTACAAGCATATCTAATACACACAAATGATTAATTTGCTCAACAACATCCGTGGACCATCTGCTTATACAGAGTAAACTCATGGATGGTCCCAAGTGCCAAAGGCTAACAGGTAAGTCACAGAGCCCAGATATCTCACTGAAAAATGTATCCTTTTAATAACACAGATTGTACATTTACTCAAGCAGAAATGACAGGTGCAGGACAGGATTAACACAGGCGTTTACAGCACACTACCAGTTGGAGGTTCTAGCTGAGCCTTGAAGAGCTGCAGTACCTACTGTGCACGGGGCACGGGCACTGGGTAGCCCTGCAACAAGTACCACAGACTGTGTTTGGGTCAGCTCAAATATTACCCTAACTTTTAAAAAATGTAAATCCTGGCAGCACCCGTATATTAGTGGGTAGGATGCTGGCCACATACACTGAGGCTGGCAGGTTCAAGCCTGCCCCAGGCCTGCTAAAAGACAATGACAACTGCAACAAAAAAAATAGCTGGAGCTTCAGCAGGCGCCTGTAGTCCCAGCTACTCAGGAGGCAAGAGAATCGCTTAAGCCCGAGAGTTTGAGGTTGCTATGAGCTGTGACATGACAGTACTCTACAGAGGGTGACACAGTAAGACTCTGTCTCAAAAAAAAAAAAAAAATCTAAACCCCAAGAGGGCAGACCCTCTTAAGTTCCACAGCCCCGTACCCTCTTATACCCTTTCTATCAGTGGGAATTAAATGCTGCAACAGATAAAACCAGGACAGGCATGGACACAAAGAAGGAGACACAGGGTGTGCCAGTAAATCAGCACAAACAGAAGGAAAGTTCCTCTGGAGAAACAATGTGTAAGACTGCAGAAGTCAGCTGGAGCTGAACTGCAGAGGCCTTGGGAGGCCAGGCTGAGTACAACATCGTATGTTAGGAAGCAGGAGAGCAGTCACAAGACAAAAATAGAGAAATGACACAACAAAACCAGACTGTAAACTGTGCCCTGCAAAAAACGGTGTGCAGAAGTTCACCAGCATGCAGACAGGAGGTTGTATTAGAACTTCTATTTATAAAGTTCAACATGAAAGATGTCAAAATTATTTCTCAAAAAACCACTTGAAATGCGTTTCAACAAATTAGTCTTCAAGAGAGATGGCAACCAGGGAAGAAAGACACAGATGCCCAAGCGTAGGGAGCAGTGAAGGATATCGCAGAGGCCAGTCACAGAGACCCAGGCCAAAGCCTTGCACTAGACACGGCAGTTGAGCAGAGGTTGACAGACATGCTGACAGTCGTCCCCTCCAGGACACTGCTGTGTGGTTTCTTCAGCCTGAGCAGACTGTGCCAGTGAGCCCAACCCAATGTGTCTGCACCTATTGTACCACAACCACGTGCCTGAAGTTCTTCTCCTCCAAGTTCTGCTTGGTCAGCTCATAGAGCATTTGCTCCAACCTCCACACGACAGGTGGGGAAGCCACCATAAGCTGGAGCTAAAGCCAGCCCACACCCTCAGAAGAGGCTTCTTCCTGAAGTCAGATGTACTCCACAGCCACTGCCGGAAACCTGATTCCCAGGACCAATTATGCAATGTCTCAGGGAGGCTGAGGCATCTCTGGCCAGCTCATGGCCTCTCAGGATCCCTCTCCTAACAGGGAAAAGACTGCCCTCGCCCAACCTAGCTGTGCCTGTACTTACTGTCCACTTTCCAAGATGCAGAATTATGTTGTTTAGGCAATACCTGCATAGATAATGAAACTATAAAGAAAAGAAGGAATTGAGAAATATAGAAGTCAGGAGATGATTAGCTTGGGAGGGGGAAGGGAGACACAGTGTCAGGAGGTTTCTAGAATACTGGTAATAAGCTATTTCTTAACCTAGGGGATGGGTATGCAGGAACTTGTTTCATTATTATTATTCTATAAACTTTACATATGTTTCACACACTCCTACGTACATATAACTTTCACAACTTAAAAAACTAAAAAAGTAGTAGTCAGTTTGTATCCTAGTGTAAATAGCGAAACTCTAGACAGTCACTTTTCTCACACACATACACATAGACTCTCATGTTATAATTGATCTCTTCTTCTCTGCCCCAGTCCCATCTCTTGAGGAGCTGCTCTGAGCAAATGAGGACAGGCTCCTACTCAGTGGTTCCAGACCACTACTTAACATCACTGACCTCACCTAAAAGCTTTACATTTGCCTAAGGGACTAATCATCACTGCTCTCTGAGATGGAGCCCTCATAAAGGGCTGCCCCTCCCGTGTCCAGCACTGAGCGCGCTCTTCACACACAATGGTGAATGAGTGCGTGCACTCCACCACGGCCTCCGAGCAGTGACCAGTTCCCCGTTTCTCGGGCCTCTGAAACAGCCCCTGCACAGATGCACAGCATGTCCTGTCCACTTAGGCCCACTCTCCCGCAGGAGGGACTCTAACCACGCAGCTCCCCTCCCGCTATTCCAGGAACCTGCTGTCACTAGAGGTGGCCCTCACTCCTCACCACAGCAGACAGGGTCCTCCTCACCAGCCTCACTGCACTTCCTTCTGAACATTAAACATGTTCCTCTCCTGAGACACCACCCTACCCTACGTCTGTCCCAATCCTTTGCCCAAAATGCCTTGGCTGGTTTCCATCCATCCTTGACTCTCAGCTCAAATCTGAGCTCAACTAGGAGGCTCCCTGAACTCCTCAGACTGGCCAGATACTCCTTCTCTGTGCTCCCCAAACCTTGTATGTTCATCATTGTGGCATGTACAAAAGTGCTGTGGAGTGATGTCTGTTAAGTATTTCTCAGGAGTGTCAAAGTCCCTCAGAATCTGATTTTAAAAACCAAAATGCAGAACCTATTTCAAATTTTTAAAAAGTCAATCCTCAGCAACTTCAGTGGAGAGAAGACAATTTGAATCCAAAAATGTATGATTTTGATGCCAATATACCAGGAATAAAAGGCAACATTCATAATAAATCATCAATTTTAGAAGTCTCCCAGCTGTTCTCAGAGCATTTGGTTAATCATATTGCACAGCTCTGGAGGGAGAGCTATTTCTTCTAACAGTCCATTCGGTCTCCTGGAAAGGCACTTTCCATCAAAGTACAGCAACCCAACAAGAGTAGGCAAAACACCTACCAGAGATATGTACTATTTGCACAAAATATAAAACGTGAAGCAGAAACACTGTGTTAGTGCACACAAAGCATCCTAGAGTGCACCCTGAATCATGCTTTGAGTAGTACTCATAAAAAAAGGTTATCAATTTTTTTTTTTTTTTTTGAGAGAGAGAGACTCATTGTGTCACTCTCGGTAGAGTGCTGTAACATCACAGCTCACAGCAACCTCCAACTCTTGGGCTTAAGCAATTCTCTTGCCTCAGCCTCCCGAGTTGCTGGGACTACAGGTGCCTGCCACAATGACCAGCTAAGGATTATCACATTTTTTAATGTTACAACAAAGCTTTATCATTTCACATTTATTTACTTACTTATTTATTTTGAGACAAAGTCTCGCCTGTCCCCCTTGGTAGAGTGCTGTGGCGTCATAGCTCATAGCAACCTTAAACTTTTGGGCTCAAGCAATTCTCTTGCCTCAGCCTCCCAAGTAGCTGGGACTACAGGTGTCCACAACAATACCCACCTATTTTTAGAGCCAAGGTCTAGCTGTGGCTCAGGCTGGTTTCAAACTTGTGAGCTCAGGGCAAACTACCTGCCTTGGCCTCCCAGAGTGCTGGGATCACTGGTATAAGCCACCGTGCCTGGCCTTCACATTTAATTTTTTTTGCATATTACTTTTTTTTTCAAATGTAAAATTTTGAAACTGAAACCAACTTAGGTAAATTTATTTTAATTAGTAAGAAATAAAGAACGCCCAGGAGTGCAGTATACCACTGCTGCTATTGTGATCACTGCAGCCTCAGTTGGCACGCTTCATTTCTGAGTGTTCCACAGAGGATTACAGAGAGCCCTTAGCTCTTCCCGGTCACTTGCTTACATACCTGAACTCTCGGTAGATATTATTAAAAGCCAGGGATGCTCCAAGCCTCTTGAAAGCATTGGGATGTAGTGCCAGGCTATATAGCCGCTTGAAAAGTGATTTGGTGTTCACTGGACTCTTTTCCTGCTGCTGTGGTGTTGTCTGCTTAATGGACCATTTGAGGAATTCTCTAATACACTGACCACAAAAATCTCTTAAAGTGCTGTCAACAGGGTCTACAATGCCATCCTGAAACAAACAAAAAGGCCTTTATTGTACTGACTTTTTTCTTTTTTTTTTGTTTTGTGTATGTATGTGTGTGTTTGTTTTTTGTTAATCAGGCCTAGGCGAGCCGGAGCACTAACCACTGAGCAAGGTGCCCAGCTTTTTGTACTAACTTTTATTTTATTTATTTTTTAATTTATTTTGAGACAGAGTCTCACTATGTTGCCCTTGGTAGAATGCTGTGGTGTCACAGTTCACAGCAACCTCCAACTCTTAGGCTTAAGCCATTCTCTTGCCTCAGCCTCCCAAGTAGCTGGGACTACATAGCCCTGCCACAACGCCCAACTATTTTTACAGTGAGATTAAAGAGCGTAAGACCCTTGGAAGTTCTAGGGAAACTGTATGGCTATAATAGTTGTAGTTGTCATTGTTGTCTGGCAGGCCTGGGCTTCAAACCCCCCAGCTCTGGTGTATGTGGCCTGTACTAACTTTTATAACCATAAAATGACAACTGAATACCCTTGGTTTGCTTCTAAGCATAACTAGAGTATACTGTGAAAATTGATTTATACCTCTAGACAAGAAAAAAATAAATACTAGTAAAACTAACCCAATTGTCTCAGATCTAGGCTTAAATTACAATTTCCTTTTTACATAGTAAAAATACTTTTAAACAAATTTTATAACTGAATAAAATCCATGGAAAAGTTAGCGAATACTTTGTAACAACAGAACAGTCTTTCCAGTCCCTGGAGAAACAACATCTATATCATAAGAAATTCTGGGCTCGGCACCTGTAGCTCAACCGGCTAAGGCGCCAGCCACATACACCTAAGGTGGCGGGTTCGAATCCCCAGCCTGGACCCGCCAAAACAACAATGACGGCTGCAACCAAAAAATAGCCGGGCGTTGTGGCGGGCTCCTGTGGTCCCAGCTACTTGGGAGGCGGAGGCAGGAGATTCGCTTGAGCCCAGGAGTTGGAGGTTAGTTGAAGCCACGGCACTCTACCCAGGGGGCTAGCTTGAGGCTCTGTCTCAAAAAATATATATATAAATATAAAAAAAAAAGAAATTCTGTAGCTGTTGATTCTACCCCTAACAGCATCTCAGATGTTCTATACAATGAGGCTAAAGAGAATAAGTCCCTTGGAAGTTCTTTTTTTTTTTTGAGACAGAGCCTCAAGCTATCCCCCTAGGTACAGTGCTGTGGCATCATAGCTCACAGCAACCTCCAACTCCTGGGCTCAAGCAAGTCTCCTGCCCAAGTCTCCCAAGTAGCTGGGACCACAAGTGCCTGCCATGACGCCTGGCTATTTTTCTGGTTGCAGCCGTCATTGTTGTTTTGGCGGGCCCAGGCTGGATTCGAAACCACCACCTTAGGAGTATGTGGCTGGTGCCTTAGCCACTTGAGCCACAGGCGCCGAGCCATCCCTTGGAAGTTCTGGGGAAAGTGTATGGCTATAAAAAGAAAAAACATATGGAAGTATGGTTCTGAAAATTTAACTTTCTGGAAGAGCATTCCACATAAAGGCATAGTCTCTAAGTACCTGAAGAAAAGAAGGAAATTGGACCAATGATTACACAGAAAATTATTCTACTTAATGGTTTTATTTCCCTCTATGCATTATTGTTTCTCATATCTATACAGTGTAATGTGAAAAAACTACACTCAACACTAAAATAAGGGAATTCTGCCTAAGATGCCCAGTTATCCACTACAGGACTGAGTAGAGCCCCCGAAGGCAGCATGAAGGAGGAGCGTGGAGAGCAGTATAACTGGGCATGCCCTGCCTCCGAGCAGGGACAACACTGCAGGGTCAGCCGTAGGGAACTGGACTCTATCAGGAAACTCCGCTCTCTCCTGCCAGTGCTCTGCTACCACCCCAATTTCTCCTACACCCTTTCTTTCTTTGACTATCTCATTCAACTTAATCATTATTTTGCCAGACTTTTTTCTGAAGCTCTTACTAAAGCTACTACTTCATGGGTTAAAGGGAGGTTAGAAACAACTAAAATAGAAACTTCAGAATAGACACGTTATAATAAATCCATCCAAATGCACAAAAGCCACAAATTACATTTAATTAACCATACTTAGTACAAGCAAGATTTACTGATAAGACACTGCTAGGAACTAATCTACAGGTTCAACAGTGTCACCTCCTAATGGATAATGTCAGTCACTCTCCACAGTCACTCTCTACTGCCAGTGACCAGGGCAGCTCTGAGAGCGGGAGGAGCACTGTCACTCATCGCACTGCCCTGCAGGCATAGCCAGGTCTGTACTGGGCAGAATGGGCACGCAGTTGCTCCACACCCAATGCCCGCTTCTGCCCAATACCTCCCGGCTTTATTTCCACAGTGCTCCCAAGAAACTGAAACTCAAAACAATCTGCGTCCTCCCAGACACAACACGTACCCAGTACCTTTACTTCCTCCTCTGGATATTCTTATCAACTTCCCTGTTTCCTCTAGCTCATCTCAAACTTAACAGAAAGTGACATGCAGATACAAACTGAGACTGATTTGCAAAAACATAAAATGAAAGAATGTCTGTTTGGACAAACGTGGCATGCTTAAGTGGGGCTTTTGATTCTAAAGTGAATACATGACAAAATGATAGGCCAAAATAACAAGCAAAACCAAGATGACATTTAAAGAAATCTAATGTAAAGTTATTTGTACAAGTTCAAAACCCATAATAAAATAAATGTCAAAAGACGCTACCAGTTACACAACTAAAAAAATGTATCTATTAAAAAATTAAAAAGACAGCCAGGTGCAGTGGCTCATGCCTGTAATCCCAGCACTTGGGAGGCTGAGGCAGGTGGATTGTTTGAGCTTACAAGTTCAAGACTACCCTGAGCCACAGTGAGATCTCATCTCTAGAAACAGCTGAGCAGCTCAGCACCTGTAGCTCAAGGGTTGTGCCAGCCACATACACCAAAGCTGGCGGATTTGAATCCAGCCCGGGCCTGCCAAACAACAATAACAACTATAACCAAAAAACAGCTGGACGTTGTGGCAGGCACCTGTAGTCCCAGCTACTTGGGAGGCCCAGGCAAGAGAATCCCTAAGCCTAGGAGCTGGAGGTTGCTGTGAGCTGTGACGCCACAGCACTCTACCCAGGGCGACAGCTTAAGGCTCTGTCTCAAAAAAAATAAAAATAATAAAAATAGCTGGGCATTGTACTGGGTGCCTGTAGTCCCAGCTACTCAAGAGGCTGAGGCCAGTGAATCACTTGAGCCCAAGAGTTGGAGGTTGCTATGAGCTATGATGGCATGGTATTCTACTGAGGGTGACAAAAGTGAGACTCTGTCTCAAAAAAAAAAAAAGAAAAAGAGAAAAAGACACTACAGGTGAGCCAATCTCAGCCTCTGCCCCAGGGAGTCAGGGCCACCCCTCATCCCCTCAAGTCCACCCCCCAGGATAGCTACATGTGAAAGGTAAGCTCCTATTTCCAGGGCACTTCCATTGTTTAACATCAGCACAGGAGAAAACTGGTTCTGTTCAAAATTCCTTTTATCTTCAAATTAAGTATGGTACTGTGAGTGATTTGTGATTAAAAAGAGCTATCGTAACTCTGGTAAAAGTCTAAGAACATTCAACTTCAACACAAACACACACACCCACATATTAAGGTAGACAAAATCTGTCAAATTTATAGCTATCCTCCCAGAAAAGAGAACAAAACAAAAAAACCCATGAACTACCACTTAGTTGTAGACATATAACAATATTACTTAAGTAAATATGGCATTGTGTTCATTATAATGGCATTTCACAAATAAAACAAAAAGACAAAATGATCCAGCTCAGATGCTACATTTTGGTATCCTGACAGGTAACTTTTCTTACAGCTCTAAATATATATCAAGTATGACCAATCAATGGAAAGAGCAAGAAGAAAATTAACTGTTACTCACCAATATAGCTTCCAGCAAGGCGACAGTGTCCTGACTTTCAAATTTCTTATTATTAGTGAACCAGTGGATCAGCTGCATTACTAGTGGCTCATACAACTGCCTTGTCACCTGAAGAAACAACACAGTCAGGGCAGCACCTGTGGCTCAGTGAGTAGGGCGATAGCACCATATACAGAGGGTGGTGTGTTCAAACCCTGCCCAGGCTGAACTGCAAGAAAAATATAGTCGGGCATTGTGGCAGGCGCCTGTAGTCCCAGCTACTCAGGAGGCTAAGGCAAGAGAATCACCTAAGCCCAAGAGCTAGAGGTTGCTGTGAGCTGTGACGCAACAGCACTCTACCAAGGGTGACAAAGTGAAACTGTCTCAAAAAATAAATAAATAAATAAAGACAGAAACAACACCATCAGAGCATGTCTCCTTTGTGCTTCAGTAACTACACTGGGAGAGCACCATGGAGGTGGCATATGCAGCAGGGCAAGCTTAAGCAGTATTACTATCACGGTCTTGTTAGCTTCCTATTCTACTTTAGTTCTATGATAAAGAGTACAGAAAAGTAAAACATACATAGTAAAGCTCACTGTTCCTCTAAGGAAGAAGACAATTTAGGGTAGATATTGGTGGGTTTCTAATATTCTTCTTTATTAACTTGATCTTGAACATGCACACAATGGTTCTTTGGGTTAGAGAAGGTTGTCCTTATCCAACTACAAAGCAAATAATGACACCCCCCCAAGATTTCCCCCACACCCCAAGTGCCACTCTTATACTGACAAAAGATAAAATCCATCCAATTAGCAGAAATCATGCTCCATATAGAAAGAAACACTTTTGAATGCTATATTTCTATTTTTTCCAAAGATAACAAAATATGTATGCATATTGCCAAGTTGTGTTTTCAGAAAGGTCTGAGTGTATTCAAGAAGTTTCCCCAGTGATAAGAGCAGCTTTGCCTGGGAGAGAGTGTGGGAAAGGGGTGGTATGAGAGGCCACTTTCAGCTCCATATGCTTTCATGTTAACTATGTTATCAGTGAAAAAGATCTTTTTTTTAATAGTTTTTCCTCCTAATTTTTTATTTGTAATTTGTTCTTTTGTATGTCACAAAGACTCCCTTGAAAGGAAAGTGAGGTTCCTCTGAACTCTTCTCAAGTAAGCCTTGACTTTCCATCTCCCATGTTCATCTCTGTTTAATCCACTTTTAGCAAGAGCTCTGTTGGATCAGCCCAGTGAAAAGCCCCACCCTAATGTCCAACCACATTCCTCATCCCTCCTTCCCCGAGGTGATGTCTGATCACCAGGCCTGCATCCAACAAGAATCCTGGTCAGGGCCGGAGCAGTGGCTCACGCCTGTGATCCCAGCACTGGAGGCCAGGCAGGTGAACTGCCTGAGCTAAGGGGTTGGAGACCAGCCTGAACAAGAGTGAGACCAAAATGTAGGAAAATTGAGGCAAGAGGATCGCTTGAGCCCAAGAGTTTGAGATTGCTGTGAGCTATGACACACTCTACCTAGGACCAAAAAGTGATATTCTTGTCTCAAAAAAAAGGAATCCTGGTCAGTCAAGCCACAATGTTTCCCCTGAGCAATTTCCACCCACGGCCCCACCTGTCCCTGGACACAAATCCCCACTTCTCCATGCTGCCCTTGCTGTGGAGCCTGATTTCTCCCAACTACTGCAAAAGTTACTGTGGTCGTCCCCCTTGGAATAAAGTCTTCTTTAACTTCTTTAACAAGTGTCACAAGCAAAATTTTCAATAATATATAAGTCAACTGACCTAATACTATTTACTAAATGATCCATTTCTCACTTGCTTAAAAAGTCCTTCTACCACAAATATAATTTTCATATGCACACATGGGGCCCTGTCCCAACACCTCACTCTCCCACTGAGCCATCTATGCACCACTTCAGCCTTTATACTCCACATGGCCCCTTCTTAGCATCTGCTAGGGCAAGACTCTCTTCAGTACACTGCTCCTTCAAGATCTGTCTTTGTTAAGAACAAACAATTATTCCTTCAGACTTTTTCTTCTTTTTTTGAGATATGGTCTTGCTCTGTTCCCTGGGCTAGTGTGCCATGGCATCATTGTAGTTCACCATAACCTCAAACCCCTAGGCTCAAGTCATTCTCTTGCCTCACCCTGCTAAGAAGCTGGGCCTATTGGCATATGCCATCATGCCCACCTGATTTTTCTATTTTTTGTAGAGATAAGATCTTGCTATGTTGTCCAGGCTGATCTGCAACTACTAGCCTTAAGTAATCCTCTTGCTTCCCAAAGTGCTAGGATTATGGGTAAGAGCCACCACACTTGACCTCTTTTATTAGTTCTTACTAGATTTAAAAAGTTATATCTGAAGTATCATTTTGGATATAACTTATCATCCTTCCTTTCTGATATTTATTCTTCCAACACTTTCTACTCTCACAGTGTTGACTAAAACCTCCTAAATAGCCAGTGGTGCTGATGTCTTAACCTAACGGCCTACTAACAAGTGTCTTTTGATTGCCCTCCAAGCATGGAGAGCCGAGTGGGTCCTAGAGATGGAGTAGAAGGCACCAGGCTCTTTGACTGCCCTCAGGGCTCTAGCAGCCTGTGGGAGCCTCTCAGACCCTAGACTTGAAGGCCACCAACTTGGTCTCAACTGAAGCAGCACCTACTTCCACAACAGGTGCCACTCCCACTGCTAGGGGGCAGACACTTGAAGGAGTATGAGTGCTTCCCAGAGGATGATTCAACTACGAGCTTAAGGAACATGTTCTTCATCATATTAAAGATAATATCAGACTACTCCTAGATTACCAGGTGCTGTTAAATGCCTAGTAAGCTTCTATGGAGAGGATCACTGCCTCTTTAAATCTATTCCTGCGGTAAATGTCCAGTTTTAAGCATAAATCCTAATTAATCATAGTGCATCTTAACACACTGCTAGATTGCATTCATTCATATATATTGCAGAATGTTCCATCTATATTTATAAATGAGTTTTGTGTTTTGTTCTTTATGTGGGCAGCCCTGACATTAGGGCTATGCTAGCTTTATAAATGCCCTGAGATTTCTATCTTTTCTGCTTCATGGAAGCCGTGGACATGTGTCCATAAAGCCATCAGGAGCAGGCCACTTGCCATCATTTCCAGTCTCTTCCATGACTACTAGCCATAGTTATTTATTTCTTCTCTACTCTGTGAAAGGCTGAGTACATCCAATAGAGGGCAATAGCTAATTTACCTCTATACAAATAGACTCTCAGTTAACTGTAACAGAACAGAGATTCCCAAACTCAGAGGCACCTGTAATCCCAGCACTCTGGGAGACAGAGGCGGGTGGATTGCTTCAGACTAAGTGACTGAGAACAACACCTAGAGGCATTCAAACCAGTTGTTCATTTGTGCAAATGAGGACTATAGGCCTTGTATATTTTCCAAACAAAAACTTGACAATACATTACTGTTATGTCACCTAACTTAAGTCTATAAGCATCAGACACTTCCTTCTCATTATTTCTCACACTTGTGCCTAAAATAACTGAAACCAATGTGGGTGAATTATTTTGATTAGTAAGAAACCAAAGAATGCCCAGTAGTGTGCTGTGTATCATAACAGTTGTTGTGATCACTGCAGCCTCAAATGGCAATAGAAACTCCACAGTCAAAGGAGAACTTTCAGAAATCCATGTTCCCAGTTCAGGTCCCTGAGCAATTAAATCAGAGCATGTTGGGTAGTAGCTGGGCAGAATAATTTTTTAAAAGATCCCCAGGTATGCTGGTCATGGTGGCTCAGGCCTGTAATCCCAGCATTTGAGAGGCCGAGGCAGGTGGAGCTCATGGGTTTGAGATCAGCCTGAACCAGAGCGAGACCCTGTCTCTTAAAAAAAAAAAAAATAGCTGGGTGTTGTGGTGGGCACCAGTAGTCCCAACTAATTGGGAGGCTGAGGCAAATGGATCACTTGACCCCAAAAGTTTGAGGTTTCTGTGAGCTATGATGCCACAGCACTCTACCAAGGGTGACAAAGTGAGACTCTAAAAAAAAAAAAAATCCCCAGATGACATCAACATGCAGCAAGCTGCACTGTCCACTGAGCTGAACCAAACTTTAAAAAAGATTTTTTTTTTTTTTTT